GTGTGTGTGTATAATAGATATAATAGTCTATATATATATATATAATATAAGTTCACGAATGTGTTAAATATTGTGTTTGTGTCTTTATTGGTGAATGATATACTCATAGGCTCAGTCAAAGTAGCGAAGCCCTCTATGTATCTTTTCATTAGCACAGGAATGCACGTGTACCTCTTGAGCTTAGTATCTTGTACGATCTACCTTGTACGATCTTCCAGTTAGTCACAAAAGTTACCACAATCAAGTCTACGAAAAGGTTCCGCTTATACTGTGCAGCGTGGTGAAGTGTATGTGGGAAACAGTACAGACCTTGCCTCCCTAGTACATACTATTCTCATAGGCAGAGCATATACATGAATTACTTGCGTCGCAGCAGGCGCTCCGCTATGGCAAATAAATTTCTATACTTATAGCTACGTTGCGTTCAACTGCATGCATATTTTACTCGCATGTATGTATGCAATATGAACTATGAAAGCTAAACCCATCAGAGGTATGAACCTAGTTTGCCTATATGCCTAAGAAATTCCACGCACGTGAGACTCTGCCGTCAGAAACAATACAAAATGTGACTATCTTGTCGTACTGTTTGATTTAGAAGGCAATGGCTGTACCTTCAAATATCCTGAACTGTTCCAATTTGCTGTGCGTCTCCTTAATGACTGCCGATAGTTCGTTGGTCGCTGCACATTTAGACAGGAAACAATAAAGTGATGCGCGGTCAGATGAGTAGTGAAGAGGTAATTGTCCGAACACCACATCACGTGTGGTGTCTTGGGTTGTGCTGCCCTGAGTATTAAAACATACTACTACTAAGGTACTCTAGATGCAGTATCCTGAGTACTTATGAATACTAATACTAAGATACTCTAGATGTAGTTTTTCTGTAGTACATCTCACAGTAGACAGAATGGCGAGTCGGCCCACCCAGAAAGTTACAAGGACACCAAATCTATTCTGAACTCATCAGCACAAACCTCGGTCGAATACATAACATCACCGAATCAATGAAAGCATGTTCCCGACGCACGCGAGATGTCAGCGCATCCAATCCCCACTCTAACACTCAAATATCACAAATCAATTTCCAATCTACCACTCAAATAACTTAACCAAGCGTCGCAAGTATATACATACCAACGCGTCCAGTGAGCACCTGTTGCTGCAGTACACTAATTTCAATCGTCTTGCACTCCCTCTCTTCACGGTGAGATGCGATCTCAGTTGACATGGCTTCAAAGGCCTATTTAAATGCCATCCACAGAGGCGAATCATGAATAGAGTGTACTTCGAACCTCCGAGTGCAGTCAATGCCCCATTGAAATGATATGGGTTTATCCATCTTAATAGACATCCCGAACACAAGACCATCCCATCACAGGTACAACCTATTCCGGTGAAAGAGAATCCATAACCTTTGGGCGTATAGTTTAAGAAGTAAGTACAGCGGATATTTAAATACAATAGTTAAAGTGCTACCCTTACTCTCTTTCAATGATAGCATGTTTTACTTTAAGACGTACGTGCAGCGGATATCTAACTTCAATGGCTAAAGTGCTACCCTTACTCTCTTCCAATATGACATGCACCTGCAAAGCATGTTTTGATAAATAAAGGAATATTGTTTGCTCGCAATAGATTCAGAAGTAGACAATCGAGCTGATGTGTAGGAGGGGCATTGCGTGCACCAGATAGTGCTTCTAAGCATCAATGATACATTCATGGAGTTCAGATAATTACCTTATTCAGCGCTCTGATATCTGACATCATCGTGTTGTCTGTATTGTGTTTCTCTGTCTCCATGACGGGAATACGTTGTGTGCGGTCCAACAGCTTCGGAAGGTGTTGTGCACATGCGTACTCAGTACATCTGTCAACCATATACCCTAGCATGCTTAAGTTGCTACCTATTTGACAACTTTGTACTGTTCTATCCTATCCAGAGAATGGATCGCTTGTGTGCACCTAGTGAGAAGATTTGGTATCCGAAATGTCTGACAAGTCCATGTGTGTGACCACGAGTGCGATTGCCAGAGGTGTAAACCCTTTGGTTGAACAACATCCATATATGCCGACTTAGAAGCAGTTAGAGGAATAAAAAGATATCTCGTTTCAATTGAAATTTCATCAGCATCACGTATGATATCGCTAGTTTTCGCTCTACCGCAAATATACATACCCATACATATCTCTAACCTTTGTGTAGAGTGGGTTACCCTCTCGATACTTATACTTTGCGGTTCTGAGTTGCTCGATAATCATAAAATAAAGTAGAGCAATATTGCAAAGAGCCCCGTAATCCAAGCGGTGGTATGTTTTTGACTCACTGAACGAAACTCGTCTCTTGCAACACAATGCTCCTTAAATGATCAAATACAAGCGTACCCGCTTCTATAACGTCCGAGGTGAATATCATCTCCAACGAATGTACACCGGCAGATAGTCACTCATATGTGTAGGCCTCCGTTCATAACATGTGACTACATGCTTGCCGTACAATTATAGCTTGATGTAGTGTGCGGTTGCGATACTCGATTGCGACGACTAACGTAGTACGACACCATACTCAAGCGTGGAATCGCAACTTCATGGCTTGCTATAGTGCCCTTTATTCAAATTCTACTAGTTGGACTTAACGTACACCAGATAGGGTTCAATAACATACACCTGTCCACATATGCTGTTTGTATTGATCGCCTGTCACGTACCAAATTTGAGCTCCTCTTGTCAACTGTGAGACACATAGTACACGCTCTCTTGAATGTTCACCATAAGTTATCCCACGCCCTGAGAGTACACGCACTGTTTAGTTATCAAACACAGTGTAATTGGGGTCCTCACTAAAGGTATCAAAACTCCAATATTACCTGTGATGACAATTTTAAGTTGAGTGGTATCGTAGCATGTATTAGACGTGTCTACGCTCTCGAAATGGGTATACCATCACAGTACTAGAAGATCGGAAGAAGAACTTCTGGTGCCACAGCTATGTATTGGTATCATATATCAACTTTCGGTCGAAGAATATCTCTGCTGCTGAGTGATATCTAAGGTTATCTATGCTATCGAAGTAGATTTCGTAGTGCAACACTTGGATAACTATCAAAGTATCCGGACTGGTGATATATGAATTTAAACACTTTCAGTCAGTTTTAAACCACTATTGTGGTGTTAATATGAGTAAGTTCTTATCGTATGTACTAACATTGAGCCATCAGTGATAGTAATATGGTTATACGCATATCCTTCCGGTAGAACACCGTCAATAACGATCGACTGCAGAGTTCTGATGTTTCACTTACTTGAAATTTTCACCTTGTATTAGATACCTACCATCTGTAAATGTGACATTAACACCTAAACACGGAAAACCTTGAAAGACAA